ATACGTGAACACCGCTACTGTTGACTGGACCACGGCGCGGCAGCAGTGCACGGCGCTTGGATCTGACCTGTTCACTGCCGACACTCACGAACAGTACGAGGCTATGAGGATGTACATCTTGAGTACAAGTTCGGGTACGAGTAATCTTTCATCTTTATTATAGATCTTCGTTCTATTTCATCTTCATTGTTGAGCTGATTATTTCAATTTTCTAGTAAACGATTTAATTCTATTACAAATTAACTGAATGAAGTCATTATTTCAAGAATGTCCTAGAGAGGGAGAAACCTAACTTGCTGGATGCATGATAACTTGACTGTTGAATCAATATTATTATCGTTAAAAACTAGAAAATTTAACATTTCTGTGCTAGCTATAAAGCTAAATATTATTTCTAATTTTCTACTCTATTTTCCAAGCCCCTGCGGAAATCTGGGTTGCAATCAAGAAGGTGGGCAACACTTGGATGTGGTCCCCCAGCGGTCGCAGTCCTGGCCCAAACTACAAAGGAGACTGGGCATATACGGACCCCAACGGAGCGCAGTTCAATCAACAGTGCGCACGGATGACGAAACATCTCAGCTACTTTCTTGCAGACACTGGATGCGAGTCGTTGTACTCGTATGTGTGTCAAGTTTAGCCGGTCTGATATGGCTTGATTTTTTCGTCACCGTTAGCGCGTCATGATAGTTGAATTAGGAAAACGTCCGTCAACAAATGTGGGCAGGTTTAATTCTAGCAATTGGTTCGGCGTTTTAGGTTTCCATAGATTTATTTTGCTAATCAAGGTTTGGTGATTTTCAAATACGTTCATATATATTCAGAATGGCAAGCCTAGTTCAGCACTAAACCTCAAATTTCATCGATAAAAAGACACGTTACAGTGTAAAACAAGTAAATGATAAAAATGAACTAACAGAAAATGACTCCGCCCATAAATAATAGATGTCATAAAATCATCGATTGACTCATTCATCAGATTATTCATAATTAAGGGCTAGACGAAAATACGTGAATTTATCTTGCAGTTGTTGAAACTCTTCTATTATTATTATTCATAATTCGTAGTAGATGAGTTACGGCAAGGAAACGTTATTCATTTAATTGTAATGGTTTGTTCACCGTTGTTGCTCAAGTTTGTTCAGATATTGTGTGTGTTATGTCAAGAGATTTAGACATTTAACGCTCTAATTAAAACTTAATGAACGCAATGAAAAATATTAGCTTCCTATGCGAGTAGAAATATACGTAAAGATGTATTGTGTGACATCGTGTGCAAATTAAAGGTCTTAAATCGTCTTTCTGAAAATACGATAAGATTGAGCCTAGAGCATTGAAAGTCTAAAGTCTATTGTGATGCACCTGAGTGGTTTGCAAGCAATTTATGCACCGATATAATTCAAAGTTTTGCCGATTGTTGGGTTTCACTGTGAAAAACTACAAATTATGCGACAACATTCTTCTTAGAATTCAGCTTCAAGTTTTCACAATTAAATTGGATAATAATATTGTATCAAAAATAGTAGGAGCATGTGAAATGAGCTTAGATGCATATCAGTGTTAAGTCGAACGAAGGCAGGACTGTCGCATGGCTTTTGTTGCCTGTAGTTCATGTTGGATTAAATGACTGTTTGATTGCCCTGCTGTAAGCTTCGAGGTCGACGCAAGACGACACGGCACGCAATGCTGAGAGTTACCAACAGCACGCGTGTTTGAACAACGCGATATAAGCGGAGATTTTTTTCAATAATCTTAGACCGTTAAATATATAAATAGATGAAATTACGTAAAGTTCCTTTAACTGCGTAAAACGTGAAATATAAAAAATTTTGCCTGATAATTGCAAATATTTCGATTGAGTGAATATAGAAACTACGGAGATTTTTCCAGTGAAATGTGTGGCAGAAAAAACAACAACAGGTGAAGAGTCAGTAATGTTTGTCACGAAAATATATTTAAATTTGTAAAAACAATTTTAATTCATCTGAATCGGTCGATGAGGGTAGTTGCACTATTCATAAGAAAATTACTAGTTTAGAAAAAATTAAATTTGAATTTAAAAATTCAGTTAGGCACATCGACATTATAAATGAGAACTCCTTTAAAAATCAAATACGCTTATATCAGTATGTTTCGTTTTTAGCCTAACAAAAGTTCTAAAAACTTACTTGAAATTAATAAAAAAAAAATAACTGGAATTTTGATACCTAACCGTGCTTATATTTTCTAACAAAAATAATTTCAAGGATCTGGTGTAATTTGGAATCAAAATTTCTGAATGCATATCAATCTTGTGGGAATTTTTACGAAGGAAAATGCAGCTAGAACAATTTATTGCTACTATTTTAAAGTTACAAGCTACAAAGGCAGTTGAAATTAATAAAAAAATAGCTAACAATTAACAGCAAACCTGGGAAATGAGGACGAAAAACAAAATCGAAAAAATTTGCTGGCGTTGCATACTTTATTATCCAGTTAAAGCAATTAAAAATATCTACATGAAATGGGTGAAATTGTGAAAAGAGTGTCGTATAAGTGACGTTACTCTCTTCCTATTTGAAATAATACCAACCTCATTCTTGTCATTATCTAAAAACAATCTGGGAAATAATGTGATTCAATTCTATCAATATCCTATAATGTAAATAAATTTGAAGTAATTTGATCTAAATTTTTAATTAATGCGAAAAATGTCAGCGTCTAGAAATGTAAGTGCATCGAAAATAATCAAAAATTGTAATAGAAAAAAAAACATTTCTGGAAGTGGTATGGATAGTGAACTTCATTTCCTTATTGTGTTTAACAGCGGACATAAAGAGAGATTTTGGTACTTCACATGCATCGTACAAAAATAATGCATTGAATATTTGAAAAAAATATTAGCATCGATAATTACAATAAAAGAAACGTTGATTATTGTTTAGAAAATCAGAGTCGCGGCAATGCATCAATTTCACTAATTATTATTCACGCGGCGATGAGCATTATTTAATTGTACTCGTTTAAACAAAATACTATGAAAATCACATCGTTCTAGTTTGACGAGAAGTTTGAAAGTTGTTCTCTTTGTTGGACCGAATGCAAATAAATGTTGAACTACCTTCAGCGTTCGCTCATATGGAGATGACTTTTTTGACCTGAAGAGAATAAATTTAAAAGATTTCATTAACTTTTCTTTTACGGGCAATTGATAAAAAAATAAAACATGGTGTCAATTATTCCTTCAACACGTTGTATGATTGTTTTTATTTTAGAGATATTTCTTCCTTATTTCTTAGAAACAGTAAACTGCATTAGTAGCATTTATTTAATTTGCAATTGATTGCATGTGAGCGAGAAAAAGACGCATCACAGTTTTCTATCGAGTATTGGATGTATTGCATCGGATAAATAATAAACGATCCTCTCGCATAAAAAGTACGCAATCGGCAGAAGGTAAACAAATCGGATTAAACGATCAAACGGATTTTTTTTACGATTTTTTCAGCTTTCATTAGATTATTAAATTGTTCAGCTAGGATTGTTACCACCTTGTGACCTTGTGATAAGTTTAGGACTTCGTAGTCTACGGTCAAGCTGATGCTCCGCCTTCGTCGTCCTCCGTCTCCGAGTCGTCACTAGGCAGGTCACCCCGCCCTCTGGTCTCGGATGTAACGTTGGACGTGTTCCGTCTAGTTGCCCTCCTCTGGGCCAGCTGATGCAAAATGCTGTTGCTTGTCACTTGCTGAGGGTGATTTCCCATTACTGGACAATCCGGGATCTTTCTCAACCACTTGTCCAGTCGTCTCTTGAATGTTGCAAGGGTGAACTCCCCTCCTCTCAACGCTTTTGGCAAGGCATTAAAGAACCTCGGTCCTACCACGGACGGTGATCTAGTTTGACGAGAAGTTGCTATTTGTAGGCAATCTTTATATTTTATATCATTGCTTTTCATTGTAGAAAGATTAATGTTATATTGTTGTTGCTTGAATTACCCGATTAGTGCTGTGATTGTCGTTCCTCTGTGTCGGATCACTTTGAAACTTGGTTCACAGACGGATCACTTTGAAACTTGGTTCACGTATGTAAAACCGAAAAATAGACAGCTTTTATTCAAGTAAATTTTTCGAAAAAATGGAAGAAAACGTGAAATTCTTAGAAAACGGCCAAAAAAAAGGGGCACTGTAGATATCTATCACCTCCTAGAGTTTTTAAGTTACAGCAATGAGACATATACCATTCGATTCGAAAATTAAAATATCTGTTGATTCAACGTAGCTTTTTTGAATTTCGAATTTTTGTGGATGTGGGAGCATTTTTCCCAAAATTTTCGAAAATTTTTCAATTTTCCCTATTTCCCCCCCCCTTGGTTGCCCACTCGTGTGATTCAGCAATGCATTGCTTGGGCATCGCTCAGAGCCTCAACTGGTCCGTGGCGTCGTGTTTTTCTGCAGCGCGCGAGGGCTCACAGTGTCAAATCTGAAGAGCAGAGAGCACTTTAATTCTATAGCGCACTATCAGTGAAGCGAAAAAGATAAAAAACAGAGACATTTGATTTTAACGAAATTTTCTGACGCATTTATCTCAATTAATATAATGCTTCAGAACGGAATAATTTTCGCGAAAAAGTAAAAACTTAAATTTTGGATGCAACCACATTGTTCATCTATTGCGATGATCTATTTTTCGGAGTAGGTATATTACTTGACGAGTGCATTTTTTCCGATCACATTTTTATTGAAGTCTCAGGGTGCACTTTCTTCCATTAAAAAGTTTGGGGAAATATACTGAAATGAAATGTACATAGGAATATCTTAATATTGAGCGAGCATAAAGAACTATTATGCTTACTTTATTCTTGATACTTTATTTTTATATTCAGATACTTTATTCTTGACTCTATTTTATGTAGCACGAAACAAATAATTTTAGCCATCCAACAAAAAACTGTAAATAAACATGTTCACATGTTGTTATGGGTAAATTGGTTCAACTTTCCTCGCGAAATCGTTCATTGACCAATGGAAAACTGAGAATCTCTAGTATCAAGAAACTAAGAAACCATTTACTAAAAAACGAATGTTCGAATTAGTGGTTTAAGAGCACAAGCACAATCTTACCATGGAAATTGAGAAAAAAAAAACAATTCAAGGGGTTTGAGAAATCACTACAAGGGGTTTGTTTACTTTAGTAGATCCATGGATCATTGAACTTCCATTGATTCCACAGGGAAACGCACCAGCTGCAGCACACCGTTCAAGGAGACCGTGGTAGGCTGTATATACGTGAACACCGCTACTGTTGACTGGACCACGGCACGGCAGCAGTGCACGGCGCTTGGATCTGACCTGTACACTGCCGACACTCACGAACAGTACGAGGCTATGAGGATGTACTTCTTGAGTACAAGTTCGGGTACGAGGAATCATCCATCTTCATTATATTGAAGAGTTGATTATTTGTGTTTGCTAGTATACGATTTATTCTATTACAAATTACTTTAAAGAAGTCTTTGTTTCATCAATGATGCAAGGCCTCATTAATCCATGTGCCTGACATGCTTGGAATTATGCTCGTTAACTTAATTCTTGAATCAATATTTTTATTATTTGAACAAAAAATGCGAAACAAAACATTTTTATGCTGAACCTAGAAAGCTAAATAACATTTCTAATTTTCAAATAAATTTTCCAAGTTCCTGCAAACATCTAGGCTGCAATCAAGAAAGTGGGCAACACTTGGATGTGGTCCCCCATCGGTCGCAGTCCTGGCCCAGACTACACAGGAAACTGGGTATATACGGACCCCAACGGCGCCCAACTCAATCAACAGTGCGCACGGATGGCGAAGCCTCTAGACTACCGACTCGGAGACATGGGATGCGAGTCGTTGTTCTCGTTTGTGTGTCAAGTGTAGCTGGTCAGATACGGTTTGATTTTTTCGTCACCGTTTGCACGTCATGAATCAGTTAGGTAATTTTTTTTGCAGCTTGACAAATTAGTGGCACTTGTAGTTCTATTCGTAGTCCTGAATGCTTGGTGTTTACGTCATTAGTTAAATTAGGGTTAGTTTTGAATTATGCATAAATGCATATATATATATATATATATTTATATAATATGAAGAATAAGAAAATTAAGTAACACATTATTTTTATTTATGAACAGTGCGAGACGGAAATGTATAAATCTTTCTTGTGGTGATTGCAACTCGTATTTTATAATGCACGATTTGCAGTACATATATGGCGGCAAGGAAACAGAATCCACTGATAATTAACAATTTGTCAACCGATGTTACTCACCTTCGTTAGTGTACTTATACGTCAAGTGTTTTAGTTATTTAATGCTCTAATAAATAATCAATAAACGTAATGAGGAAACGATCGGATCTTGTGATTGTCGAAATGTGTTCTCATGTATCGAGTTAATTATGTTTTAATGTCAGTGTAATAAACTTCTTGGATCGTCTTCATTGGCAAATACGGTAATATTCCATCAAAGAATTCTGTTTGATTTTACTTTTATCCACGAGTAAAATCGAAAATCCACATATCAGATGACAACTTACTTCTAAGAATTTAGATGCACGTATTCACAATCGTATTAGATCGTCTCATTTCGTGGAAAATTGCTGCGGCAATATTAAATGAGCATGTGTGCATACCCAGTGCAATGCTGAACAAAGGCAAGCCAGTCGCAAGTCATTTATTGCGCTGAACACATGATTTAGAACAGAAAGCTTCCATTAACTTTTGTCAATCGCAAAGTGGACTTGGAGTTTGAGCTCGGTTAAGTGATGGCTTGATGGCCTCATGGAAGCTCCGAGGTCGACACGACACGACACTGCAAGCAGTAATGAGCACTGCTGACAGCGCTTGTATTCATTTGAAGCTGTAGCGGAAATTTTATTTGTATGTAGTCTGAGACTGTTAAATACCATAAATATCATCTTAATAGGTCAAACAGATAAATTATTGATGCCCTGTTAAATGAAGATGTTAGAGTTGAGCGACTAAAAAATTATGTCAACTTTCCAAATTAATAAAAAATGCACAGGAACAAAATACTCATGTCGCAAATAATACTGTACAAAACTGCTAACTTTTCTGCCATGTGATTCGGCTGATGAAGGAATAGTTTTACTCTTCATGAAACATGGGTGGAAAATTACTATTTAGTAATATGTATTATTTAGTGAAATGTATAGACCAATATTTTAGAAGTATTTTATGTTTACATAACTGAGAAGCAAACATTGCTATAAAAATCAAGCACGTTTTAACAACACTTCTCATTAACTTCACTTCTTGTTTGTTTGTTTGTCTGTCTGTCTGTCTGTCTGTCTGCTACAAATATTATAATCGATATTTAACACACTTCTACCTGTCCAATCGATCTAAAATTTGGCACACTTGCGTAAAGTTGGAGACAATGCAAGAATCAATTGACAGAATAAATGATTTGAAAAAATAAAAAAAATTATTTTCATTATTAAAAAAAATAAAAAATAATTTCGTCTGCTTCAAATCTTATAATCCATATACGACACAATTTGACCTGTCCAATTGATCTGAAATTTTGCACAATTGCAGAAAGTCAGCGACAATGCATGAATCAATTGACAGAATAAACAATTTTGAAAATTTACGAAATTTTGATATCTTAAAAAAATGTTAAAAATAATTTTTTTTAATATTTGAAAATAAAATTAGAAATTCATTGTACATGTGTAACATCCATGACACTGGATTGTTTAGAAGTGTTGTCTTTAAAAAGTAGTTTTTAAACGCATATTATTATTACAATACTTCTCTTTAACTCTTTAACTTCACTTTTGTTTGTTTGTCTGTCTGTCTGTCTGTCTGCTACAAATCTTAAAATCGAAATTTAACACACTTATACTTATCCTATCGATCTGAAATTATGAACCCTTGCGTAAAGTTGGAGACAATGCAAGAATCAAATGACAAAATAAATGTTTTAAGTAATAAAATATTTTTTTTTTCATTATTAAAAAATTGAAAAAATAATTTTGTCTGCTACAAATCTTATAACTGATATTTGACACACTTTTACCTGTCCAATTGATCTGAAATTTTGCACACTTGTGTGAAGTTGGATGCAATGCATGAATCAATTGACAGAATAAATTATTTTGAAAAAATGGATAAATTAAAAAAATTTAAAAATTAATTTTTTAATATTCGAAAATAAAATTAGAAATTCATTCATTGTACATATTTAACATTGGAGACACTGGATTCTTTAGAAGTGTTGTCTTTAAAAAGTAAATTTTAAATGTATATTATTAACAATAGATTTCTTCTGAAGGTTCTGAAAGGTTATTGACTAAACATTGCTTAAGAGAAATTTTGAACATAATTCGTCCTCAATTTCTTCCTATAACATTATTTTTCCAAAGAACTGGAGCAACTTCAAATGATTTTTTTCCGATTCATTAATATTCGTGCTGTGGTGATTAATGCATTAATAATAATTTAATAAAATTATTAATATTCATGGCGATTAATAATATATCATGGTAGTGGTGATTAATCATTAATATTCTTCGCGAGGCAAAATTAAACAAAAAAATCTAACTCTGTTTCTTAAGATAGAAGAAATATCAACCAACACAAAATAAGAGATGTGAAAAGTGCAACCTAAAAATTCTATGAATCAGGTATTATGCATTTTTCCAATAGTCGTAGAATAACACATATGACATTTTATTCAGTTTCGCTCGGATACTAACCTTTTGCTTTTCATCACATCGAAAAATATCGGAACAATTCGAAATGAAATTAGACGCATAACATAGGTTTCTCGGAACTTCAATGATGCTGATGGAAGACGTTTATGACAGGATACATGCGATTCATGGAAGTTACTTAACCGTCGGCGCTACTCCTTGTAAAATCAGGAAATCCTACACAAGTAAGGATCCTTAGTATCCTTAGTATGTGTTTTAGACGTAGCAGTTCCAGGCTGCGCTCTGTATTTGTCCGTCCTCAGCCTCGGAGGCGAACCGTTTTCGACGCCTATAGGTCCCGAAGGCCTGTTTGTGATCAAATAAATTTAATTAATTTTTTAGAAGTCGACATGAAATCGACATGAAATTTAGATAATTAGATTAGAATATCGACATGAAATTTATATAATTATATGATTATCAGTAACATCGACATGAAATACAAATTCAGGCCATTATTCCTAATAATTAAATAATAACATTTCATTTGCATCAGCTACCTGTACTGGACCCACTGGCCAGATCGTGCAAGTCGGTCAAACCTTCAACACGGATAGTGGACCAAGTTACCTCTGCACAGACGACGGACCAGAAATTTTCGGTAAGACAAGTAATCTTTCGTTTAGGTTTTATTTCCATTTATAGTGGGTCACTTTATTTCTATCACACACTATCAGTTCAGCGAAAAAGATAATAAACAACAGAGACATTTAATTTTAACGAAATTTTCTGATTCATTTATCTCAATAAATAAAAAGCTTCAAAACGAAATAACTATCGTGATAAGAACACATTAAAATTTTTGATAAAACCACTTTGTTCGCTTATTGCGATGATCTAATCTTCGGAATATCTCACTTGATGAGTGCATTTTTTTCCGATCACTTTTTTTTCGGATTCTCAAGTTGCACTTTCTTCCTTTAAAAAAGTTTCAGAAAGATTTTTCCCCGCACTTCTAAGACCCCTTTGGAATTTTGGGAAATATACTGATTTGAAATGTACATAGGAACTTTTTTATATTATGCTAGTATTTAGAACGATTAAATCTTTTGATGCCAGGAGTGCGACATACTAACATATTATATAACATATTATTCTTGGCTCTATTTTACGCAGCACGAAACAAATTATATTTAGCTATTTAACAAAAAACTGTAAGAAACATGTTCTCATAATGTTATGGGTAAGTTGGTTCAAGTTTGCTGCGAAATCGTTAATTGACAAATGAAAATATTAGACTTTTTAGAATCAAGGAACTAAGTAACTATATACTGAGAAGCGAGTTTTCGTATTCGTGGTTTAACAGCACAATCACACCACTGACATTCAGAAAAAAATAAGACAAGGTTTTATAGTAGATAAGTAAATACAAGATTATTTTAATATATCCGTGGTTCATTGAACTTTCATTGATTCCACAGGTAAACGCTCCAGCTGCAGCACACCGTTCGTGGAGACCGCGGTAGGCTGCATATACGTGAACACCGCTACTGTTGACTGGACCACGGCGCGGCAGCAGTGCACGGCGCTTGGAGCTGACCTGTTCACTGCCGACACTCACGAACAGTACGAGGCTATGAGGATGTACATCTTGAGTACAAGTTCGGGTACGAGTAATCTTTCATCTTTATTATAGATCTTCGTTCTATTTCATCTTCATTGTTGAGCTGATTATTTCAATTTTCTAGTAAACGATTTAATTCTATTACAAATTAACTGAATGAAGTCATTATTTCAAGAATGTCCTAGAGAGGGAGAAACCTAACTTGCTGGATGCATGATAACTTGACTGTTGAATCAATATTATTATCGTTAAAAACTAGAAAATTTAACATTTCTGTGCTAGCTATAAAGCTAAATATTATTTCTAATTTTCTACTCTATTTTCCAAGCCCCTGCGGAAATCTGGGTTGCAATCAAGAAGGTGGGCAACACTTGGATGTGGTCCCCCAGCGGTCGCAGTCCTGGCCCAAACTACAAAGGAGACTGGGCATATACGGACCCCAACGGAGCGCAGTTCAATCAACAGTGCGCACGGATGACGAAACATCTCAGCTACTTTCTTGCAGACACTGGATGCGAGTCGTTGTACTCGTATGTGTGTCAAGTTTAGCCGGTCTGATATGGCTTGATTTTTTCGTCACCGTTAGCGCGTCATGATAGTTGAATTAGGAAAACGTCCGTCAACAAATGTGGGCAGGTTTAATTCTAGCAATTGGTTCGGCGTTTTAGGTTTCCATAGATTTATTTTGCTAATCAAGGTTTGGTGATTTTCAAATACGTTCATATATATTCAGAATGGCAAGCCTAGTTCAGCACTAAACCTCAAATTTCATCGATAAAAAGACACGTTACAGTGTAAAACAAGTAAATGATAAAAATGAACTAACAGAAAATGACTCCGCCCATAAATAATAGATGTCATAAAATCATCGATTGACTCATTCATCAGATTATTCATAATTAAGGGCTAGACGAAAATACGTGAATTTATCTTGCAGTTGTTGAAACTCTTCTATTATTATTATTCATAATTCGTAGTAGATGAGTTACGGCAAGGAAACGTTATTCATTTAATTGTAATGGTTTGTTCACCGTTGTTGCTCAAGTTTGTTCAGATATTGTGTGTGTTATGTCAAGAGATTTAGACATTTAACGCTCTAATTAAAACTTAATGAACGCAATGAAAAATATTAGCTTCCTATGCGAGTAGAAATATACGTAAAGATGTATTGTGTGACATCGTGTGCAAATTAAAGGTCTTAAATCGTCTTTCTGAAAATACGATAAGATTGAGCCTAGAGCACTGAAAGTCTAAAGTCTATTGAGATGCACCTGCGTGGTTTGCAAGCAATTTAGGCACCGATATAATTCAAAGTTTTGCCGATTGTTGGGTTTCACTGTGAAAAACTACAAATTATGCGACAACATTCTTCTTAGAATTCAGCTTCAAG